CAGTGTTTTGTTCTGCTGTGCGTAAGGTCGCTATGAGTCGGCATCTAACAACAACAATCCCTGAAAATTGAGTGTTAGGTTATGTGGTAATTGGCTGATTTAAAACAGATGGATTATTTTGGATTGTCCACGTGGGCTCAATGTAGTCTCAAGAGTCCTTAAAAGTGTAAAAGAGAGGAAAAAAAAAAAAAAGGTCAGAGTGCTACAAACTAAGAAGGCCTGGCCTGGCCTTTACAGACTTTGAAGATGGAGAAAGAGGCCTTGAGTCGAGGTATAAAACAGCCTCTGTTGTTGTTGTTAAGTGCCATTCAGTCTGTTCTGATTCACAGCTACCTTTTATAGGGTTTCCTAGAGTGGCTGGTGGGTTTGAACCACCAACCCTGCAGTAACCAGTCCAATACTTTTCCTACAGCACCACACCAGGACTCCTAGAAGCTGGTAAAAGCAAGGAAACAGATTCCTCCCTAAGTCCCCCAGAAAGAACACAACTCTGCTGACACCTTGATTTTAGCCCTGGGAGACCCATGTTAGAAATAAATTGTCAAGGACTTCATTTTGCTTGGTCTATGGTCAACACTCATGGAAGCAGCTGCCAAGAAAAAAATCAAACGACATATTGTATTAGGCAAATCTACTGCATGAGACCTCTTTACAGTGTTCAAAAGCAAAGTTTGAGGACTAAGGTGTGCCTGACCTAAGCCATGGTATTTTCAATAGCATCATATGCATGTGAAAGTTGAACAATGAATAAGGAAAATCTTAGAAGAATTTGAGTTAACAGTGTTGGAGACGAGTATTGAAAGTACCAAGGAGTGCTAGAAGAACAAACGTGTATTGTTAGAAGTACAGCCAGAATACTCCTCAGAAACCAGGATAATGAAACTTCATCTCTCATACTTTGGACATAATATCAGGAGGGACCAATCCCTAAAGAATGACATCATGCTTGGTGAAATGGAGAGTCAACAAAAAAGAGGAAAACCTCCAGCAAGATGGATTGACCCAGTGGCAGCATCCATGGGCTCAAGAGTATCAACAATTGTGAGGATGACACAAGATTGGGCAGTTGTGCATAGCATCACTATGAGTTGAAGCTGACTCTATGGCACCCAACAACAATAAGAAAACAGTTCAGTAGGAGTAACAGAGTTCTAGTGATAAGTGCCACAAATCAGAGAGACTGATATAATTAAGGGAGACTCCCTGAAGGAACAGGAACTTGCATCAACCCCTGAAGGAAGAATCAAGGAAGGAAACTTATTTTGGGAAGTGGGGGAAATAATATGATAAGAACATGTTGAGCAAGGTCATTGATGCTGGAAGACTTTTAAACTTTTGCTCTTAAGTCACTTAGTCAGTGTGTGTTCTGAGGTAAATGGAGTTCCTCAAAAGAAGTGTTGCATAGTCAAATGCATTGAGAAAAACATCACATTGTCACGCCCTTAGGAACTCCCTTGTTGGTGTTGTTAAGTGCCATCAACTCCTTGTGATCCTGCATACGGTTTCTGAGGAGCAGCTGGTAAACTTGAACCCTGACCTTGCAGTTTAAACTGACTTGACGTCCAGTGTATTATCCCACAAGGTCTCACCAGAAACTCCATTGTTGTTGTTGCTGTTAAATGCCCTCAAGTGGATTCCAACCCATAGCGACCCTGTATTGGGTTTCCAAGGAGCAGCTGGTGAGCTTGAACCACTGAACTTGCAGTTCAAAAGACTTTGCAGTCTGACGCATTAGTCCACAGTGCCACACCAGGAACTCCAGGAACTCCATTAGCATGTGACAAATTAAAGTCTCTAGAAATTTTTTTGAAACTGTATTAAGCACAGTCTTTCCCAAATTTACCAGCCCACAGAACTCTTTTCCCCTGTAACACCTTCTTCTTGCTGTTGTGAAGTGCTGTCGAATTGATTCTGACCCATAGCGACCCTGTATAGGGTTTCGGAGGAGCAGTTGGTGAGCTTGAACCGCCAACCTTGCAGTTCAAACTGACTTTGCAGTCTGATGTATTAACATGCAGCGCCACACCAGGACTCCAGGAACTCTGTTGTTGTGTGCCGTGGAGTCGGTTCCAACTCATAGTTGACCCTGCACAGGGTTTCCAAGGCTGTAAATTGTTACGGGAGCAGAAAGCCTCATCTTTTGCCAGCGGAAACGCTGGTAGTTTCGAACTGCTGACCCTGAGGTTCGCAGCTCGATTGGTAACCACTACGCTACCAGAGCTCCTTAGGAACTCCATTAGCACGTGACAAATTAAAGTCTCTAGAAATTCTGCTCTGATTAAATTTTTTTTGAAACTGTTTTAAGCACAGCATTTCCCAAATTTCCAGCCCATAGAACTCTTTTCCCCTGTGACACCTTGTAGCATACCCCAAACCTTTTGATAGATGCTCTGATGTGGGGGAGTCATGAATAGAGTAAACAGAGGGGTGATAGAGTAGCATTTGCTTTATGTCTTAGGAAAAGTAAGATGGCTCTCCTATAAAGCAGGGGTAAGGAACACCCAACCTGCAGGCCGAGTAAGGACCATGAAATCATTTGATCTGGGCCTGTCAAGTCAACCGCAGTTCTGGTCACCACGTTGTTGTTGTTATGTGCCGTGGAGTTGGTTCCAACTCATAGCGACCCTGTACAGGGTTTCTGAGGCTGTAAATCTTTACAGGAGCAGAGAGCTTCATCTTTATCCCGCGGAACAGCTGGTAGTTTCGAACTGCACACCGTGAGATTAGCAGCCTGATCCATAACCACTACACCACTGGAGCACATTAGGGATAAGTTAATTAAATGTTTGATCAAATACAGCAAAGTAATTTTTAAGTTGATAATTTTGTGCGGTCTGCAAATTATGTTGTAAATATCCAAATGATCTTTGGCAAAAAAAAAAAGTTTCCCCACCTCTGGTATAAAGC